ATGAAGCAAGCACAGGGGGAGGAAGTGCACCTCTCCAGCCCCTCAGCAAGCAGGGTTGGGGGAGCTTCCCCATCCTGTGAGAAACGGCGCCACGGTCATCACTCAATGGAGCAGAAAGGGAAGGAATGAAGCTGTGTGCGGGGCGCACACCTTTAATCCCAGTGCTTGGGAGGCAGAGGCAGGGGGATCTATGAGAGTTTAAGGCCGGCCTGGTCTACATAGAAGTTCCAGGCCAATTTGTCTCCAAAAAGGGGGGCGGGGACAAAAGTAACTTCAAAAAGAAGATAAATTCCTGAGGGGAACAGAGAAAAAAGGTATTTCTATTACAAATGCCTTTGCCCACTGTATTGAGAGAGGCAGTGGAGTGTCTAGAGCAACGCTTTCCAAAGAAGTTTAGATCTGTGATTTAGAGAAATAGTTATACAGTATTTTCACCTTCTCATCAACCCACATTTATATGACCCTCGTGTGTTTATTATCAAAATACAGTCCACTGACTGCACAAAAACGACAAAGGCCCAGGAAGACAAAAGCACCAACAGCCACAGAAGCAGTGACAGATTTGGAAGGCACTTGCACCTCGCCCTGGCGAAGGACTGGTAATCAGAGGCCGCGAAGAGCCCCGGCCAGTCGCCGTGGACAAGAAAATTCATGCGGTGGGAAAACAGAGATTTGTTTAAGAGGCAGATGATTCCAGAGGAGGAAAGCATCGGTCAGGCGAGCCTCTGCCTCCCTTACAGGAGAGGGAATTAGAATGGTGACGCCCGCAGTGATATAGGTGATAGAGAAGCCTGTCTCTATTCCCCTGCTAAGTCCAGCTGAAATGTCTGGGCACTGTGTGTAAAACAACACAAGAATACCCAGCAAGATAGCGAGAAGACAAAGCAGTTAGACTTTGAAACCTGAGGAGCAACAGTGTGATGAGTTCTCTTGGTCCCCTTTTTGTCTCAGATGTTGGGGTGGGGTGTTAAAGAAAAGGGCTACTAGAAGACAGCTATAGTCACGAACCCAAAGAAACCCAAAAAGTCCCTCCCCCTAGACCCCCCTCCCTGACCCCCTGAGGGATAGGAAGCATTAGGCATCAGGTGACCTACCCTGGCCAGAGGCTACTACCTAAAACTTGCCTACTCCACCTCCACCAGCAGCATCCCGAAGAGGAGCCCTTGAAGTTCTGCAGAGAACCTGGATGGCCTCACAGCCTTGTCCCATGCTGAGCTGGTGTCAAGGGCCAAGTAAGGAGCCTGGAGTTTCACCTACCGCCGCCTGCTAATGAGCCCTCCTGTCTTCCTGACCAGGTCCCCTCGTGGAGTTCCCATGGAACTTCCACTCCCATGTAAGAACTCATAGTTTGGGACAAATACAGGACACTCAAATCTTAACTGTAAAATATAAAACAGCCTAATTAGAAGATGAACAAAATAGGACAAGACTTTGTGAAAGTGGATACCTAGATGACTAAGGAGCACATGGAAATCAGTTCAACATCATTAGTCTTAGGGAAACATTGACTAAGACTGTTGTGCATAATACTGTGAAGATGTGTCTCTGCACATCAGGCACCTGCTGATTGGTTTAATAAAGAGCTGAATGGCCAATAGCTAGGCAGGAAAGGATAGGCGGGACTTCTGGAAAAAGATAGGAACTCAGGGAAGAAGAGAGGCGGAATTCACCAGCCAGACATGGAGAAAGTGGAATGCCCGGTGGTGAGCAGAGGTAAAGAGCCACGTGGCAGAATGTAGATTAAAATAAACCATGTTGATTTAAATTATAAGAGCTGTGTGGGAACAAGCCTACACTAAGGCCAAGCTTTCATGATTAATAAGAAGTCTCCATGCCATTATTTGGGAGCTGGTGGTCCAGAGAAAGTCTGACCACAAAGATCATGAAACAAGCTCAGAAAATGGCCCACTGGTTAAGAACACTCACTATGCAAGCATTGAGTACCTGAATTTGAATCCCCAGCACCCACATAAAAAGCTGGGTGTGTCCACATGTACCTATAACTCCAGGGCTGCGGGTAGAAAACCCAGAAGCAGCCCTGCCTGAGGCTTGCTGAACACCAGCTGGGCTGGTTCATCAAGAGACCCTGCCTCTGTAGATGCAATTCCAAATGGTTTTATTAAATAAGAAACACAGAGCCAAGTGCAGAGTTAAAAGCCCCAGAGGTCAGAAAGCAGTAGCCAAGAGCTGAGACCACCTTCTTACCACCTGCTGCCGCTGCCGCCCTTCCCCTAAGAAAGAGGCCTACTTCCTTTATGTCTGTCTTTTTATTGATTTTCTGTTCTGCCTTCTCATTGGCTCTAAACCCAACCACATGACCTCCTCGTCACTGCCTGTCTATACAGACCTCCAGGTCTCTATGGTTGGTATTGAGATTAAAGGCGTGTGTCTCCATGCTGGCTGTATCCTTGACCACACAGAGATCTGCCTGTCATGCGATCGGGATTAAGGGCGTAAACTACCACTGCCAGACTTCTGCTAAATGGCTTGCCAGGCACTTTTATTCATTAATATACAAATAAAATCACATTTCAGCACAAATAAAATATTACCATATGCCTCAGTGGAATAATGTGGAAAATTATAAAGCCGGAGACCTAGTGTCTTTCTCTGGCCTCCACTTGAGCAGATGAGACCACACAGGCATGTTTATATACACCACATACCCTAAAATAAAACCACTACAGAACAGCATCACAATACAGTAAAGCATCTGAAATAAGAATAGAACCAACACCAAACAGTGACAAGAATATAGAGAAAGTGGATCTTTCCTACATTGCTGGAGGGGATGCAAATGAAGAACCACTCTGTAAAATCATTTGACAGTTTTTAAAACAAACAAACAAACAACAACAACAGTCTCTCCAATACTCACTTAGCGTATGGCCCAGCCATTGCCACTCCCACCATTTATTCCAGAAAAATGAAAAGTTCTGTCCACAAAAGCCTGTGCATTGTGTTCACACAAGTTTTATTTGTAATAGAAGTAATCAAAGTATCCGATGATGGGTGCATTACATGTCATGAAATGCCACCCAGCTGTAAAAGTAGCAAGTCATAAATCCAACAATTTACATGATCTAGGGATGTGCTGGGCAAGAAAAGCCAACCTCAAAAAGTCAGTGTCTTAATGTCTTTTTTCTGTTGTTGTGAGAAAATGACTCTGGAAAAAGCCACATAAAGGAGAAAGGATTTCTTTCAACTCAGTTCAGGCAAATTCCTCACATTGGGGCAATCAAGGCAGCAGGGGCTGGAAGCATCTGCCACTCCTTGTCCACAACTGGGAAACAGAGAAGTGCTTCCTAGTGCTCACTCTCTCCTAACTTCATAGTCTGGGATCCACAGTGGAGGGAGCAGGCCTCCCACATTGGCTAACAAAATAATCCCCACAGGCCTGCCCAGAGGCCCATCCCCCAGGAAGTCTATGTCCGCCAGACTGACAGCAGCAACCCTGCAGCCAAAGACTGGAGTGCTTTCATCTAACATTTCCAAAATGGTGCAGGTTTAGAGATAGATACTGGCTGAGTAAGCTGACCTCTTACATCTGCAGATGCTGCACCTTGGATCCCATCAACTGTGGATTGAAAGTGTATTTTAAAATATTGTATCTCAACAACATGTGCAGACTCTTTTCTTGTCATTATTCATTAAATAATAGACTAGAACAACTACCTGCATAGCATTTACATGTGCTGTTTATTGTAAGTATGCTCAAGATAACTGTAGATTATCGGCAAATGTGCTATTTTAAGTAAGAGCCAAGCACTGGATTTTGTTATCTTTAGAGGGATTCCAGAGCCAATCCTCATCAGGTGGGAGGACAACCATACCTGTTAATGGGGTTTAGGCATAGTGGGGAAGGTATGTGTGACTAGAAAGGGTAACATGAGGAGATCTTTGTAGCAGGGATGTTCCTCTCTATCTTGGTCATGGCTATGGTTACACTAAGGACAAGCATGAGAAGATGCTTGGATCTCCTTGGACTTGAGGCCATGTTGATCTTCTGACCCTGTGCTTGTTGTAGATAAGATATAATGATGGGAGAATTTCATGGGGGCTGAAGAGGACCTAGGACCAAAGAGCTGATAATATATACATATACATAGATACACATCTACATATCTACATAGAAACAAAACAAAACAAAACAGTGGGGTCACCTTTCTAATCATCAGTTTGGATAACACATTGAAACTTGATACCCTTAAGTTTGGGAAAGTTCTTGAGAAAGACAGCCATTTTGATGGGCTTTTGCTGAGTGTCTATCAGAACTAAATATAAACACTGCGTTCTAAGAGACTCCGGGGGCCCTGCCAGAGAAACACCCATGGGTAGAGGGGAGAGGAACATCAGTTTTTGCAGTAGCATTACCAGAAATTAATACATTAGGACAGAATAAAGGTCCATCCGAAGCAGAATCACTGAGTCAACCATGGCTTATTCCTATGAAAATATGAAAGTTAAAAGAAACTAACCAGATGCAGTCACAGAAACATGTTAAGATTTTATAAATTAAGTGGCATGAAAAAGCCAGATAGAGAACCGCACATGTGACCTAAGACCTTTTTAAAGTAAAACCTTAAGGCAATAATACTATGCTTTCTTTAGAAATATAAATATGAATTATGAAGAT